ATTAGGCTAAAATTACAGATCATCTCATTATCCGTAAGTGCCTGTTTTATCTGTTTAAAATTTTCTTTTTCATTTTTGTTAGCTGTAGATTCCATCTAGAGCAGGGCTGTCAAACTCGTGGCTCGCAAGCTGGATGCATCACATGTTGACCACACCCACGCCCTGTTTAGTGAAGGGGAATAAAGTCACAATAAGCCACTGTGATGCTGTGAGTATGACCCCACCCTGATCTAGAGGAATCAAAAGTTCTCAAAACTGAAATATTTAATTTAAAACTGTTTAAACAGGCACTTACGGATAATGAGATGATCTGTAATTTTAGCCTAATATATAAAGTTGCTTTACAATAAAGCTTGATGGTTAACTAACAATCACTTTGCAAGTTCTTGATCAGAATTATTCCTAATGATTAAACCAAAAGCCTTGGCCTGCAAAGCACCTGTTCTACTACCAAGCTACCAACATTCCTCAGGAATACAAAAGCCTCAGCTTTATCATATAATCAATTAATATCAAACTTTATAAACATTACATTTATCACCCTTATCCTCCAAGTCTAATAATCATAATATTTCCTCTTGGGATTAGCAATCTGTTCTGGGGTTCGCCAAGTACTCAAAAGTGTGCATGTGCGGAGTGGCCCATCCTATTCTTTGTACAATTGTTACCTGGGATTTCTGATGGAAGCTGAGGTGCTATTTCTTGTTCCTCTATGTCGAATGCTACAATTTCAGGTGGTAGTTGCGGTAGCGAAGGTGCAGCCTTTACAGGAGTTGTGGATTCTGGTGTTTCAAATGCTTCTTCAGAGTCTGAACTCCTGAGCACACATAACAAATGAGGGGGGGAAAAAGCAAGGTATTACATGGCTATTTTTTTTTCCTTCCCAAAGAGCAAGTCAAACAAAAACAAACAACTTTTGCAAAGTTTGCAGAGCTCTCCTATCTAAGGAAGCAAGAATACCTCTGCTTTTTTTTTCAGAGCTCCTGAGAAACTATTAGGCTCTTTTTTTTTTTTTTTTGCAGCATGATTTCTGGAGCAGAATATCATGTTCTCAACTTTATTTGGAAGAAATCTTGATACTAAAAGATTTCAAGACATCACAAAAGCAAACATGCAGGCAGGATAAAGTGAAAGGCGCTGAAAAAAAAGCCTGCCTTTGTGGCATAAAGGAGGCTTTGACACAGACAAACAAAAAGCAATGTTAATGGAATCTGTTGATAGGATGTTGGATTTTTTTTTTCTTGGCACAAGCATAAGCAAACCTAATAAGCAAAATCTTATGAGAGTGTCATAATGCTCTCAAGTCTGAAGAGATCTACCTTGATGTGCAGCTGAATGAGAGTTCCTACAAAACAAGAAAACATGGCCTTTAGGTGGACATTGGAGGTTGCCTCACCTTTCAGACTAAAATACTGTTAATGGAGACAAAGATAGTCTCACTTTTCACAGTTGACACAAAACACAGACATTCTCAGTATATGAAAAAGCATCCTTTCTTCCTTCAGAATTGCTGGCTTTCAGTAAAGTCATTCATTCATACATTCAATTCATATATCCTGATTGTCCAATTCATCACATATGACAGTTCTGACAACTTTACCACACCTATTGCCATAAAGTTATTTAGTCTACTTTAATTTTATTTAATTTTATTTTAAATCATTTTCTGCATAAAGACCTTTGAACTTAATTTTTAAAACTACTTCAAGCAAATAAGCAGACACTGAAGAACAAGATAATCACAACCATAAATGAAGGATGCTAAGTTGGAACTAACTAAAGATGGAACACTTTATCCTTGATAAGACAATGTCCAAATGTTCTGGATTATAATTTTTCCCCCATCAGTGGCTGACAGTGAATTATAGGTTTTGTTTAGTGGTTAAGATGCTGGGACTAGAAGAGAAAAGTCTGAGTTCTAATTCCAAAATTATTATATAAAATTTATTAAATCTGTGCAAAACCAAAGGATTTTTGGTAAATTCTTCCATTTTCCCTTTTTTTGCTTATGTTTGTTTTAAGTAAAATTGCTACCAGCTGATATATTTTGCTGTTTATTATAGCTTCTCAAAACACATTTTTAAAAATAGTTTCTGGGTTCAGTCTATGTTTGTGCAGGGTGTAAAAGTAAATGGTGCAACATTTATTGCTCCTGCTAAGCAACACCCATTTTTTTCCATCTTCCCAATACAGTACAGTTCTGAATCAGTATAAATACATTCCTTCTGTTGAAGAAAAATAAAAATTATACTACTATACCAAAAGACCTCCCCTGGTCACATCATCCTTTGAAACTTTATGACCTCTTTGCTCAATTCCTATTTAAATAAAGTTGAAAACATTTATTTATAAAATCAGCAACAACATACACTGTTATTTTCCAATAAGAACTATTATCAGAATAAAAGCACAACCTATTTTCTTTTACAAAGGTTATCTTTGTTAGGGTTACATCATAGATTACCTTACAGTAAACATATGTCAGACAAGTCCTGTGTCAAATACTTGCTGAAAACATATGGTTCAAAGATGGCATTCTTCTCTGATGCACTATTTCTTTACCTTTTTCTCATAGTCCTAATAAATAGCATTATCTTCTGCTTATGTATGCTACAGGCACTTCTTCAGGCTTACTTGAAAATTTTTAAGCAGTAAAAAAAAAATAGAAAGGAAGACTGAAGATGAATTTATCTCTCTTAACCAGACACAATCCCACTGACCATAATGCTCCCCCAAAATAAGGGATGCTGTGTCAGTTCCATGTTCCACAGAAATTAAGTAAGATTGTACTATGTCATTTCAGCTAATCCTGTGTTGTAAAACTTTGAACAACATTTGATTTTGAATAACGATTGTTTATCTAGCTAATGCCATTTTTTTTTGTTTAAAGTTTAATTTAATCTTTCATACCACCTCTTCTCAGACTGCAGAATTATAGTTCTTTATTGATCTCCTCACAACTTAAAAGTCAATGTCAAGATCAATAAAAATGGTGGGGTTGTTTTTTGGTCTGGTATCTAGAAGATGCTTTTATCACTTAGGAATGAAGATATACTGGCCGAGTTAAGAAAGTATTTTCCTTAGCTGATGTGATATATCTATACATCAATGTTTCTCAACCTTGGTGACTTGAAGAGGTGTGGACTTCAACTCCCAGAATTCTCCCATACTGGCTGGGGAATTCTGGGAGTTAAAGTCCACACCTCTTTAAGTCACAAGATTGAGAAACACTGATGCACAGTATATACTATGGGACTGGCATTCCTGCCAGAACTTGATTCCACTATCTCTTTGAACTGGGATGAGAAACCAACATGGAGCCAGTGAAATCCTGGAGCTTATGAAACCCATATACTGCATCATATATACCAGCTGCATCTCTTGCTTATATCAGTATAGTTCCAGACAACAGCATTTTAAAATCTATCTCACATTTTGGTTACAGGCTAGGAATCATGGCAAAAAGTGTTCATTTTTATAGAAAATATGTTATGTAGGAATAGTGCCAGAAAATGAAACCTTTCCACGAGAAACAGAGGCATTTTAGCATGGATGGGAAGTTATTGCTTTTTAAAATTATTTTTATATTGGCTTTATCTTTGTAAGCCACTTGGGAGTCACTGAGGGTGAGTTGGACGGCCATATACATTTTCATAAATAAACAAATGCCTAAGTACTCAAATGAATGAATGAATGAATAAATAAATGTGTCTATAGATTGCGCAAGAAAACTTCAGAATAAGAATAAAAAACTGAATACAAGTATACATCTACTATCATAAAGCTATCAAGAGATGTTCCCATGATTGAAAAGTAGATTTGTCAAATTAGTTTTAGTTAACTTTCACAATATTTCTGTGTTGCCTGATCATCAGCTCACTTTCAGGCTTTTTTGCATGTTATTGATAAATGCTTGCAAACTGGTCCACTTTCCCTACAGTTTATCAATGAAATTGCCAAATAATGATTTATTAGGATGTCTTGCTGAAGCTCTATTGGATATAGGAAAAACTAAAGTTGAGATTTTCTGAACACAACGGATATATTCTACTATTAAGTTATGGCTCTTTACCCTCTTTTTCTTCTTCTTCCAAGAATGGCCTTCTAGATCTAAAAAGCTGATCATAGAACTGTACTACTATTAAAGCATCAACCTATTAATCATTAAAAATAGATATCCTGTGATTAAAAACAATTCATTCAGCAAGACATACAAGTGTTGGTCTTCTTCATTGCACATTTTATTTGTGGCACTATTACAATAAGCATTAAATATGCAATTTCCTGTACTTATCCAGGCCAGATGATGAACCAATTATATGTTGTTCTAGACCACTGAAGATTTATAAAAATTTAATAGCTATAATTTTAAAGGATGCAATTTTCATAACCACAAAGGAAAAAGCTCTGAAAGTAGAAAAATTAAATAGAAAATCAAATTATAGCAAAATAAATCAAAACATGCTTTCAAGGATAATGCTAATTTAAAACTGAATTCACTATTAAATGTCATACAAGGTCTTTTGAAAAGTTTTAACAATTCTTGCTATATGATACCTTATATAAAACTTTTGCCATAAATCCTAATCCTCTTCTCTTAATCACATTTCCTTTTAAAGAATTTAGGTCAAGAATATTAGCATGAGCACAGAAAGGGATTAATTTAGTACCGTGGTGAATGCTTATAAATGAAGTGAAGCAGTATATATAACAGTACACTGTTCAACTGCAATGATATTGTCTTTCATAGCTAAATAGCACTGCATATTTTATCAATGTAAAAGAAAAGAAAATGTATGCTAATATTAAAGAATAAGGCATTGCAACTCAACTTTCTAAACCTTTATTTATCAGACATAAATGAAAATTCTGGGTTCAGTGTACACTAGTGCCAGAGACCCAATTCTTTGAACTTTAAACAGCAGCCCATAAATATTCTGAAGAAACCAATATGAATCTTAATTAAACAAAATAATTTATTTACTATTACTATGCCATCACAGAGTAAAGTAACCATATTCATTCTTTTTTCATACTCTGAATACATGGAATATTATGAGTCCTTCTTTTAAATCTCAATTACTAAAAACTAACAATGAATTTCATTTATAAAGTATAGTCCTAATAAAATGTGCGCAAAAAGGAAATAAAATAACAAAAGACACAACAGAGAAGGAAAGCATCATACACATCAATCTATTTCTCTGCCTTTATTTGACAAATCTGTCATCAGACTACTTGAATGCTGACTAACTTATAAAACTCTGGCCACAATGCTTTCCTGCAAACAGTGTTATAACACTCATCTTCATTAAACAAACTTTCCATCAGTTGATAGGATAAGGACCCATTATCTTGCCTTACTGCCTACCCTTAGTTTTTAATGTCTTGTAGGACATATCTTCTGAAGTTCCAATTTCAACAGCAGGATGCCCTGCTCTCATTTGAGCATTGGAAGGATTCATTGTACTCACTTATCAGCCAGATGAAAATAGGTTAAGAAGGAAGATTCCTGGACAAAACACTCTAAGGCATTCAAATGCCTATAGACAGGAATGGGATTCTACCAGTTCGCACCGATTCACTAGAACTGGTTGTTAACATTCTAAGCAGTTCAGAGAACTGATTGTTAGAAGAAATTACTGGCCTAATCCTGTAAGGAAGGCAGGAAGAAAACATTCTGGTGTTGCTTACAGAAACTGTCTCTCCATTAACCCTTATTACATTCTTGGCAGGACTAGACTTCCTGTCTCAGGAACGTCTCTGGAGTTTTTTCCCCTTCCTTTGCTGGTACTTTGCTTGTGTGGAGTAACCATT